ATTTTGCAGCTGCCCTGGATCCTCCTCTCCTCATAGCAAAACCAAACAAAGTCCAGCTCATTGCCATGGATCTGCCCATGGTCAGTGGTGACCGGATCCACTGCCTCGACATTTTATTTGCCTTCACAAAGCGTGTTTTGGGTGAGAGTGGAGAGATGGATGCCCTTCGAATACAGATGGAAGAGCGATTCATGGCATCTAATCCCTCCAAAGTCTCTTATGAGCCCATTACAACCACTTTGAAGCGCAAACAAGAGGAGGTGTCTGCTATTGTTATCCAGAGGGCTTACAGACGCTATCTCTTGAAGCAGAAAGTTAAAAAGGTTTCATGTATATATAAGAAAGACAAGGTCAAAGAAGGTGAGGGAACACCTATCAAAGAGGATATCCTCATTGATAAACTAAATGAGAATTCAACACCAGAGAAAACGGATGTGACACCTTCCACCACTTCTCCACCTTCCTATGACAGTGTAACAAAACCGGAAAAAGAAAAATTTGAAAAAGACAAATCAGAGAAGGAAGACAAAGGGAAAGATATCAGGGAAAGTAAAAAGTAAAAAGAAACAAGGAATATTTCATTTTGTGATCAATTGTTTACAGCCTGTGATGGTGATGTATTTGTGTCAACAGGACTCCCACAGGAGGTCTATGCCAAACTGACTGTTTTTACAAATGTATACTTAAGGTCAGTGCCTATAACAAGACAGGGACCTCTGGTCAGCAAACTGGGACTCACCAAACCAGAGAAATAGCTTCGACAGGAGGTTTCTGTTTTCACAACCAGCTGACACTGCTGAAGAGCAGAGATGTAATGGCTACTCAGACTATTGGAACCAATTTAAAGGGGGGAGGGAAGTAAAATTTCTATGTAAATTCAACATGTGACACTTGATAATAGTAATTGTAACCACTGTTCATGATTTAACTGCCACATCTGCATATTTCTACAAAATGTGTGCTGTGAATTTATCACCTTTTATTTTTTATTTCACAGGTTGTTTATTATTATATGTGACTATTTTTGTAAATGGGTTTATGTTTGGGGTGAGGGATTAAAGGGAGGGAATTCTACATTTCTCTATTGTATAACTGGATATATTTTAAATGAAGGCATGCTGCACTTCTTGTTCACATATAAAAAAAATCACATCACAAAAGAAAGAGTTTACTTCTTGTTTCAGGACGTTTTTAGATTTTTGAGGTGCTTAAATAGCTGTTCATATTTTTAAGGTATCTCATCCAGAAAAATTTTAATGTGCCTGTACATGTTCCACAGAGTTCACAACATTAAAGAGTTGTTTTATTTTTACATGATCCATTATATGTACATGTATATATGTATATATGTATATGTGTGTGTATATACATATATATGTATACACACGTGCACAAACATAGATACACACATACCATTACATAGTCATTCTGAGTCCCGGCAGCATGAATATAACACTTTTGATAAGTGTCCTTTGGCATAAAATAAAAATATCCTATCAGTCCTTTCTAAGAATCTGAATTGACCCAAACTCATCCCTACGACCACTTCATAAAGTTGATTCTGCTTTTTCCTGCAGTATTGTTTAGCCATCTTCTGCTCTTGGTAAGGTTGACATAGTATATGTCAATTAAAAATAAAATCTGCTTTGTAAATAGTAATTTTACCCAGTGGTGCATGTTTGAGCAAACAAAAATGATGACTTAAGCACAGTATTTATTGCATCAAATATGTACCACAGTAAGTATAGTTTGCAAGCTTTCAACAGGTAATATGATGTAATTGGTTCCATTATAGTTTGAAGCTGTCACTGCTGCATGTTTATCTTGCCTATGCTGCTGTATTCCTTCCACTGTTCACAGGTCTAACATGGGAAGCCATATGTCAGTGGTAAAGTGAAACAAATTGTTCAACTAAGACCTCATTCTTCATGTCATTAAGCAATAGGTTGCAGCAATCAATGAAGAGCTTCTTGCTTTTTATTCTTCCAATGTTAATTGAATACTCTATGGTGAAGAGCCTGACTGTACAAACATGTTGCAAGCTGCTTAAATCTGTTGAAAATATATGATTAGAGTTTTCTAAGAAAATATAAATACTGTAAAAATTTCATTTTATTTTATTTTTCAGCCTTTTGTACATAAAATGAGATATTAAAAGTAACTTCAGGTTGATGTCACAGTCACTATTGTTAGTTTCTGTTCCTAGCACTTTTAAATTAAAGCACTTCACAAAATAAGAAGCAAAGACAAAGATACAGGAGTAGGTTTCTGCTTTTTTATTAGTACTGTAAACTTACACACATTTCAATGTGAAAAACATCTCAGACTGAGTCCAACCTTTATTTGCTTTCAAATAGTAATACCTTATTGTCAAAAAAGACTTGAGGGAAAGATTAGTTGATATTCTTGGTATTGCTTGAATTTCATGCTTCCACCTAGTCTTTTTTAATCAGTAAATCATCAGTCTCTTCCAGTGTTTGTGTACACAGAGAGCTCTTTTTCTTACTGATTCATAAGGCATTAGGATTGTATCAGATACGACATTGGGTTTCATGCCTTTTTTTCTCCCTCACAAAACCAGGTAGCAAAATTATGTTACTAGATACAGCAAAACATTTCATGTTTCTTTCACAAGCAACATTCAATGTAGATTCTTTATACTAAAGCTATTGACTTGTAGTGTGTTGGTGAAATGCATGCAGGAAAATGCTATTACCATAAAGAACGGTAAACCACATTACAATCAAGCCAAAAGAATAAAGGTTTTGCTTTTGTTTTGTATTTAATTGTTCTGTCTTTGTTTCTATCTTTGAAATGCCTTCTGAAGGTAAATTTCTATCATGTAAAAATTATCAGAAATAATAAATGTAAAGATACATGTTAAAGGTTTTAATTCATCTTTAAGTTTTTTCATGGGAATAAATTCAGAAGAGTGTACTGAATACCTAGTCTTATATTGGCCAAAAATCTAGATATGGCGTTGAGTAGAGTAGTGGAAACCTACATAAATTAATAAAAAAAAAAAAACATTGGCTAACATTTTAAGTTGTGCATCTTTTCTCCTTCCTGTGCCCTCCCCCGCCCTCTGCTGTTCCTTCTCACTCCTTTCCCTTTGTGTTATTGATCACCTTTTCCATATTTTCTTCCATCCATTCCTTGGGCTCTGAGTATTTTTCATTCAGAGTAATTCTCCTTCTTTTGTTTCTGTTCACCCAATGTTTTGTTTAATACATACTATAGACAAAGGGAGCTCTGGTAGCATAGTGCCTAAGGCACTTGACTGTTAACCAGAAGGCTGGCGGTTCAAACCCACCAACTACTCCTCAGAAGGAAGGTTGGGCAATCCTACTTCTGTAGTGATACTGCCTCTGAAACCAAAGGAGGGGTAGCTACGAGTCGGGCTCACTCGAGGGCACATAACAACAAAGGCTCTGCGTACTTATTGTTAGTGGCTATCTGGTTCATACTGACTCGTGACAACCGTGTGTACACAGCGTAGGACTGCTTCATAGAGTTTTCAAGCCTGTGGTCTTGTGGAAGCAGATCGCCAGACCTGTTTTTCGAGATGCCTCTGGTTAGTTCAAACTGCGAACCTCTCAGTTAGTAATAAATTGCTTAACCATTTGTGCCACTCAGAGACTCCAAGAATTTGTTGTCAGTCTGTATAATCCATAAAGCATCTCTGTACGCTTTCCTACAAGTTCCTTGACAAAAATTCTAAGGGAGCTTAGATCTCAACTCTTCATAATATATAAACATAAATCTCAAAATGACACAGATTTTGTTATCCCATTTAGTTATGAGTAGTTAGGGAAAAAAGTTCTCAACCCTGGTCACATATTAGAATTACCCTGGAAGCTTAGGAAAGAAAAAAAAAAAAAAAAGGTTTGTGTGGATTAAGACCCGACCAATTGAATTCTTATCTCTTGCGATAGGACCTAAGCATATAATCGCATTTAAGGCTCCCCATTGATGCTGATTCCTAGTGAGACTGAGAACCAATGAGTTCAGCTCTTCTTGCCAATTAGAAAAGAGTACTCTACAGAATGTATCCGAAGGAAGATGGACAATCTACTTCCGTAGTGATACTGCCTCGGAAACCCAAGTAGGGGTCACTATGAGTGGGGTCCAACTGACGACACGTAACAACAACAGAATGTATATACCTGCCCACCTCAGAGGTTCATTACCTAGCACATCACTTAGAATGAGGGTCCTAATCCATTGGCTTTGGGTTATGTTATTTTAGCTTGAGGAATTGACATTGATCCACTTATATCAAGGGTTCTCTTCTAGGACTATAGCTGCTAGAAAGGATATTGTATCAGAATAATTTAGAGAACTTTTTCAAATTACATATTACTCTCACTCATATGCACACACACAACACACACACACACACACACACTACAGTACACTAACCATCCCCAGCACATTATGAGTGAGATGAACATGCAGGTGGTTTAGGAAATAATATTAATTCATGTAGTAGCTCCCCAGGTAAATCCTACATGAATAGATGGGTGAGAACTATTAATCTGGACTAATGAATGGGTCAAATCATATTGGTCAGTCATGTAACATAAATTCAATTTCTCATCAACAAGTCACGAATTTAGACAGGAAAGACTCCCATTGTCAACTTCTCCATTCTTTGTACTCCTCTCATGATTACTTGTTTTCCTAAGTTTTTTTTTTTTTAATATGGAAGGAACAATTTATAGAGTGAAGAGAGGAGAGAAGATGGAAGGCAAAAGGAACAAAAGGGGAAGGAGGGAAGGTGAGAGGGGAGAAAACAGAGAAAGCAGGAGAAGAAAGAAGAGTATAAAAAACAAGAAGAAATACTTTATAAATTATTTTAAGAATTTCTTTTTTTTTTTTTTTTTCTGTTGATACCTACCCACAGCAGTGATGGGGAGAGGGGGAAGAAAGAGGTATAAATAAATTTTGCACAGGTATCAATATGTTATATCTGCAATGTAAATATGATTCTCTCTCAACTTTTAAAGAAAAATACCCATGACAAAGGTGCAGAGGACATAATAATGTTCCAGTGACTTCAGGTCCATAGATAGTGGTATTTTTTCTTTTCACCTGAATTAAGTGTTTGAGTGTCAGTGATGTATCAGTTTTATGAAAGGAAATCAAGATGAGCATAACTGTCTAAAGGAAGAGGTGGGGAACCTTGAAAGTCATGCTAAGGAGTCTGTAAGTTATTTTATTGGTGATGAGGAGTAATTGATCATTCTTGAGCAATAAAATAAGCAGTGGAATAATATTCATCTGCACCTATTTAATCCGATAGTAATATGGCTTCATACCCCTTACTGTTTTATAGATATCTTATTTTTCAGTCTTTATTTTAAACATCTTTGTATTCCCCTCTGTTAGTATATTGATTTTTAAAGAATATACCTAGATTTAAAAATATCCAATTTGACATTCTCTGTTAATAGCCTATCTTTATTTATTGTAAGTATTTCTACCACCTTATATTAATTCTTTCTAGTTTTCAAGTATTTATTCATTTTTCCCCACCCTCCTTGCCCTCTCTTTCATG